ATGTTAATCGATCAAGGTTCTATAATGTGGATTAGTAAGCCACAAGATCCTACCTCTATGCTCGAATGAGTCTATGAACACATTTGACTTACTTACTTACTTACTTACTTACGCCTGTTACCCCTAATAATGCATAGGCCACCGACCAATTTTCTCCGACGAACTCTGTCCTGGGCTACCGTTTCTAGTTCTTTCCAGTTTTTGTTTATTCTTCTCATGTCTTTCACTATTTCCCGGCGCAATGTATTCCTTGGCCTTCCTCTTTTCCTTTGACCTTGAGAGTTCCATGTGAGGGCTTGTCTCGCGACGCAGTTAGGTGCTTCCCGCAATGTGAGTCCTACCCACTTCAAACACTTCTTCCTGACTTCCTCCTCTACTGGAATCTGGTTTGTTCTCTCCCACAGTACGTTGTTGCTGATAGTGTCTGGCGAACGAATCCGAAGTATTTTGCCTAGACAACTGTTAATAAACACTTGTATCTTCTGGATGATGGCTTTCGTAGTTCTCCATGGTTCCGTTCCATAAAGTAGAACTGTCTTGACACTTGTATTGAAAATTCTGATTTTCGTGTTTACTGATATTTGTTTGGAGTTCCAGATATTTTTCAATTGTAAAAATGCAGCCCTTGCTTTGCCGATCCGCGCCCTCACACCTGCATCGGATCCACCTTGGTTGTCTATGATGCTGCCAAGATATGTAAAGGTGTTAACGTCCTCCAAGGCATCTCCATCAAGCGTGATTCGGTTGACGCATGTTGTGTTGTGTCGTAGAATCTTACTTTTTTCCTTTATGTAGAGACTTACTGCTGCAGAGGCTGCTGCTACACTGGTCGTCTCCTGTTGCATTTGTTGTTGAGTGTGCGATAGAAGAGCCAGGTCATCTGAGAAGTCCAGATCGTCCAGCCGGGTCCTAGCTGTCCATTGAATACCGTGCTTCCCTCAAGATGTTGACGTCTTCATAATCCAGTCGATCACCAGGAGAAAGAGAAAGGGTGAGAGAATTCAGCCTTGCCTGACATCGGTCTTCACCTCAAACGAGTTTGTCAGCTGACTTTAGTGCACGATTTTGCAGTTGAATCCATCATAAGAATTCCGTATGATGTTGACTATCTTCCCAGGCACGCCTTAGTGTCGAAGAAGCCTCCATAGTGTTTTCCTTTCCACGCTATCGAATGCTTTCTCGTAAATTAAAAACAAGATGCCATAATTTCTGGTATTCAGTAAGTTTTCAGGTAGATTTAGTTCGCTGAAACAAAAACTATTATATACCTTTACAAAATCTCACAACATTCCAGCTGTGTTAATATATATTTGAATCAGTTAATTTGTGTAAAAAAAAACTAACTAATTTATATTTCCATTTTCTGTATTCTATTAACCTTGAATTTCATAAAATCAGATCTATTGACAGATTGAACGAAAATAAAATCTTTTTGTACATCAGAATGAAAAATGGATTAGGTTTAATGAGTGATAATTTGTCAATCATTTTAATCTTAAATGTCATTTATTTTTGCTTAGAATAATCGATTTCGAAAGGATAATGTTATTCGTTAGTGTAATATTAAATTATCTAGACCATAATGTAGTAAGTAGATCTATACGTTTTTTAGCCTAGTTTTATCGTCTATATTTCAAACGGTTAGTTTTATTGATGAACAGGTCATCACATGTTTCAATATCAGTAAGTAGTACTCAGGGAAGCACTTAGTTTGAAATATAATTTATACTACATGTTTAAATAGTCGCTTAATAACATTGAACTGATGACAACATATCATATTGAGACTACCATATGATTTTGATAAATTAGGAGAATGCCGATGAAATATCACAGGAAATATTCCATTTTCAACCTAAGAATGTTAAGGACATTTCATCAATACAATCTAGTGTTAATGGAGGATTTTCAACTCAGATAGTTTAGTTACAGGGCTTCCATTGTCGTTTTAAAGGTCATCATCAACACCTTTCAGTTGTTCCACAAACGTTAAATTGGTTTAGCCCGACAGTTTTATGAGTGACTGCTTATTCTCGCAAGTTACCAACAGTGAGGTCCAGAACGCCTGTTTCGTCTTATTTGGGGTTCGTTAGTTAAATGTACAGCCTACCGTTCACTCCTAACTTCAATGTACTATCAGTGAAGCTAATGAATCTAGTTAACCACTGTCTTGTTCAGATAGGCCTCAATATCTTCGGCTTTCTTTCTGTTGAGTTAATTTTCGGTTAGGCGATTGGTTAATCTTTTTTCTGAATGGATAGATACATCAAACTGAAATTGACCTGACCACTGATTGGTGAGTAGTGTGACTGACATGCTTCGAGAAATTTTCCGATATTCGGAGAACTCCAACCGTCCAGAAGTCTTTTCAGTTGAATTCATGTCTGTAGTTGTCTACAAATATTGGCATCAATGAAAGCATCTTATGCCTTTTCACTTATTCCCTGAGTTTGTGTCTATGATGAAATTAATGAAGCTTACAAGCATAACGAATCACATTCGAGACTCCAATAACAAATCGCTATCAAGTACATGTTATAACCCAGAAGCTTACATGTACAAAATGTAAGCATTGATGATATTTTCCAGAATGTCTATGATAACTCTCAAATTTAACCATTTCACTCGAGGACCTCAACAATATCACACTCTACTACCGAATGTTTACAAAGTATTGGTCAACTGCTTTCGTGTATAATGTTAATCAGCGTATACCAGCCATGAAATGGAAGGTATTTGGACTACTATAATTTTCATTACCCTATGGCCTACACATTTCAAAGTACTTTCGATGAAAATAATAAGTAATTAAATATCTTGTATTAGATACATACATGTTGAAGTTAGGCGAGAAAAGCTTATCAGTAATGTCAATGTGGTTGACTGATTTACAAAAAAGACCATTATACAAATAGATTGATATTTAATCAGAATACTTATTTGAAATTTTTGACACATTATAGGAATAAATCTAATCCCAACACTATATATTAACACAGAAAAAATGTCTACTATTGGAAGATGGATTTTGTCTGATGATTGATTTTTGTGTAAATAAACATGCATACAAACTAAGCATACTACTATTCATAGTTCTTATTTTAATTTCATCATAAACGAAATAAATTCCAATTTAAAGTTGAAATATGATTAAGTAGTGCAAATTGGCTATATGAAATGAAATACATTTTAATGAGGCACTTTTTAGCAGATCTGTTTTCCCACGGGATAAGGCTCCCTACAACTAAGCCCAACCCTTCCCCTTTTTCGTAGCTTGGGACCAGTGGTAACCTTAGAAGGGCTTCAGGCTGAGAACAAACCAGCTTCCAGCTGAGGAAGACATTGGGATAAAACGATCGAGGTGATTATGACACATACAACAGAAATCATTCAACTAATTCACGAGTTAAATACTCAAGGCCTTGAGAAAAGAGATAGAACAAAGATCAAACTGAACCGAGAATTGTAGACAGACTTGGAAAGAATGAGAACAACAGAGTTTATCGGAGAATCCTGGTCGGTAGCTTATGCTCCATGAAAAGTGACAAGCGTAAGTGAGTATCTAAAGACATTTCATTTATTAAATGGAAGAATGCAATCACAAGAATCAAATGTAAAGGGTTTAAGCACCATAAAACATTGAATATAGTGTCGTAATGTCTTCCTATACATAAATATCATGTTCAATGGTAATAGACATACGTTTGCACATAAAGTATGATAGTGAACTCTTTCTTATTTTCATTCATAATTCTGATCGTGCAACTTTGAAGCTTTAATTTCAAACTGTATTTACATCAAACAATTTTAAAGAAAACTATTTTTGTTTAAAGATTACCAATTTGAAAATTGTGTCCTAATAAATGGATCTTAAACTCTTTGACGCTGATAGATTTTGAAGAGAAAATATTCAACTGTACAGTGAGATCACCAATAATCCAGTAATGTACGTTCGCTTAAACACTATTTTAGCATTTCGAAAAATTACAATATAACTAAACTCCAACATCCACCTGGGAATACAGATATTGGGTAGTTTGTTTTAGTACAATTCACCTTAAACAGTGTAGTAAAGTTATTTCAGCCTATTTATTTATGAGGTGTAAAAAAAGTCAAAATCTTTAAAATGATAGAGATATATATATGAATATTGTATAATAATAGTTTGAGATAGAAATTAGTTGACAGCGTTTTACTGCTTGACTTTACTTCTCATATCAGTTATGTCTATGTCTATAGGAATTTGGGCTTAAAAACAGATATGTATCTATTTTTTGCAGAACATAAGTATCATGGTACGTTGTTAGGATAAAGATAATCTTTTGTTGGATGGATGTATCGTGTCATATGCAGCAATGAGGATTCCAAGTTATTGTCTATTCACTGTCTATTGATACCTGAAGGGATGAAATGAAGCGATCTCTGGATAAACCACAACTTGAAGCATACCCACTGTCAACCCTCAGGATATTAGTTACCATGTTTACTGAAGCAGACTACCAAAAACTAAACACCTGGAGGCGTCTACTAACCTTAGTTTCGTGTGTTCTAATCATTAGTCACAAGACTGGCGGATTTTCAACTAGTCAAGCAAGTTAAATATTACTTGAGAGTTGTAAAACAGTTTAACATCTCAATTGTTCTACCAAGTCAATGATGCAAAACAGATGAATAACCTTGGAATTAGAAATAAAAGGTTGTTCATAATAGTTCATAGACTGACAAAACATGCTAGTTATATTAATTAACACTATTTAAAAAAATAAAAGTTCAACTTGTTAAAAAAAATTATAATTGAATCTTGAATGTCTATAAATGCTTGCGTCAGTTCACCACTGAGACACTATTAAGATCAATGAAATTGATTGCTGTTTAAATCTGTTACATTATTCTACATAACCTAGGGGAACTCCTCAATGTTGCAAACTAGATGTTTCTAACTATTTCATTAATTTTCAAATACGAGATACCACAAACAGAATATGTAAAACAATCCTTACCTCATTTTCATTCGAGATTCTTGTTGTTTATTTGAAAAACTAATAACGTCTTCTCTGAATGCCTCCCTTGGATTTCTTTTACCACGTTGAGCACTTTTCAAATTTCTTGTTAAACAGACAGCTAGAGTTCGACCTATTTTTCTAGTTTCTTCACAGACTACTTGTGATTCCTGCGAATGTGAACCGATCGCTTCAACCAAATCATTGGTATCATTTTCATCAATAGTTTGTGAATCAGAAAGTGCATTATCTCGTTTGATTGGTTTGTGAAAACTATCAACTTTTTGCAAAAATGGATGAACACGTACAACCCATTTATCTGGATTATCTGCATCTAAGCAAGTGACTTCTTGATCTTCAAGGAGATTAACTAGTTCAGGTGAATTTAGTCTTTTTTCTTTGTTTATGTTGTAGGCGGCATAGTGGACTCCTTCAAGTTGAGAAATCTAAGGTTTGTAATAATAATAATAATAATAATAACAGTAATAATAAATCAAAAGTTTGGTAATTTAAAACGATATAAAATAATTTTTTAAGATGTTTACTTTAACCCCTAGAATGAATTGTTAATAACAATTCATTAAGTACTATGTAGAAGAGTTTGACAATAACTAAGCACACTGCTCTACTGTTGTACATCAAATTTATACGTAGATATTTTTCAGATATAATAACGGAGATCATTGTTCTTACACATTTGGAATCATCAATCAATCATTGTTAGACCACCATTAGAGACCTGGAAGCACTGGACGGCCGTTTTGTTCTGGTATGAGACCCATTAGCAGTGCGCATCCACGACTCATGCCTCTCGCAAGATTCGAACCCTAGACCTTTGGTCTTGCGCGCGAACGCCTAACCTAGCATATATTTGCATGATGATTGTTTCATGTTAAAGGTTAGTTTTAACATGAGAAATCTTTTATGTCTCGAATGAATAATAATTACATCTAGAGCAGTTTTAACTATTAGCACAATTGAAGAGATTCAATGAAGAATTAATGATAATAAGGCATTAAATTTCAGTTTATTTCTCACTGGATAAAAAATCCCCGAATGGATGACATACATACGATAGGAACTTATTATCACTACCTTCTCTTCTCATACTAGTTAAAATCTAAAAATGCTAAATGGATTTAATTGGTCATATTTGTTGTTTCGCTAAATACATGAAAATTTATTTTGGTGATAACTCAATGATCTGAAAAAAAAAAATTGATCCCATTGTCTGACCAACATGATGATCGTCATTTAGAGACAGAATCATAGTCATAATCTATTCTTGGGGATACAGTTTAAGCGCATCAAACTCATCCAGTTATCAGAATTTACGAGAAATATTTTTTTGTCATGCTGAAAATAGAAAATAGGAGTTTTAAAGAACATCATAACATTGCTTATGGTTTTGCAGCTGATCATTAAGTTGAATAGAATAGACTGGACGAGGATGATAAACACATGTTGAACACTATGATAAAGGAAGCAAATGTGCAAATATCGTGCAGATTTATTCATTGAATGTTCAGTGGATAATTCTACTGTGATATTTACATTAAGAGCAATCGCATATTAAACGGGTATCATCCGATAAATGACTATGAACTTTCTTTTTGTTTTCACTTAACTTACTGTTATTGAGATCTATGTACAAGCACTCATTCATTCAATATTCACTTTGTTGACAATAATGACTACTTCTGACTGACAAACATTCATTAAAGTCATAGAGTTTCTTGTGATAAACAGTGATTTCCAGTCAGAGTTAATAGAACTAAAAAAACACATTGACAAACTCATTTGAATGGAACTTAAATGTAATCTAATATCATTCATTCATTACATTGCTATAGTCGAGTATTCTGTTGTAAGTTATAATTCAGCAGTTTAAATTACAATATAAGAAAATCATCAAATGATGACCGCTTTATTTTTCAAAGAGTGTTTATATCTTTAAAAAAAAATGGATATTCAAAGACAAACTCATTACAACGAAACACATCATCTTTACTTTTCGTTCAACAGCGAAATAATTTTCATCCCATAATTCAAATGAACAATCGAAACTTCGTTTGGATCGTAAAGATAAACGTCTCGTCTTTGGAATTGGTGGATCTGAAGAGAAACGAATCAAATTGATTAGTTAGTGTTGTAATTTTCTGTTAACTAAAATATCATGTAATGAGGAATCAGTTGACAAAGATGTTTAAAACAACAACTGTTCTTCCAGAGGAAATACGATTAACAAATTTGTATCAGTGTTATCACGAATTGAATAACTTTTTCATGGTAGCAAGTAGTTATCAAGTAACCTTGAACCTGAGTTTCGTTCTATCTTGCAGTTGTCAGTGAAGTATACCTGTAAACTTGATGGAATTGATCTTGAGCTGATTATGAAACAAACATAACAGTGGCCACTGCCTAATGTTCAATCAAATATGAAGCAAATAACTGAATGATTGTAATGGACATACTAAAGCTTCTTTGAATGAAATATCTTTAAATGGACGAACAACAAACAACCCTATATACATGATTATATATGAAGTCAACAATTCAAGCGGCAATCCGCTTTCTTTACGGTAATACATCGATATTAAAAGATCTTTACTCTCTAAAAGTAGCACATTTGTGACTAAGAAACTGTGAATTTATCATTCAGTCACGATTAAACATCTAACTTTTGAAACTGTAAGATTTGTACGCCTTTATTTTTAGTCAAAGACAATAATTTTGGTAATCACGATTAATTCATGATTATTACAGCAGGCGTAAAATGTGGTACTCTGAACAAGTATGTGATACAGAACTTAAAACCAAGATTTATTTCATCGCATAATCGATCATTCGACCAAACAGGAGTGGAATCCAGTGCCACTAATATCATGAGTGTTGTATTTAACGTTGCCACTAATTTATATATATATATATATATATATTCTGTCATATGAAACAGTGGCGATTTGTATCTAAGGTATATGATTTCAGTAATGTTTGTGCTGATAGTATTGTTAAATAAGATAATGACAGCTTCAAAATTAAACCATTCTACTGAATGAACTAAATTTCATCAAAATTGCAGTCTTATCACTAATTGACTGTTATGTGATACATGTATTTCCTAGTGTTTATGCTCGTATTATCTTAAAACACTAGACATGTTGCCAGAAAAACGTCACTTAACTACTTTACATTGTTAATTCGCATGTTAGACTGAGGTTCCTGTGTTCGATTCCCGCAAGCAGGAGTCGTGAATACGCACTACTGAAGAGTTGCATACTAAGACGAAACGGTCATCCAGTGCTTCATAACACGGATTCACCAATGACTGATTTATGATTTCATTTAAATTGTTGAAATAAATATAGCTTATCAGCTATCTTATATTGATCATTAAGTTAAGATTACATCAAATATGTTTATATCATCTTTACTTATTTCATATTTTTTCATTTAAAAGATAAAACATAAAGAGTTTGACTAAAGATGAAATGTTTGAAAAATTTGGTGACACTTTAGCCATATTTCCATGTATGATGAATGAATATTGTTATAATACAAAAATCATAATGTTTATTTATATATCAGTCAGTGTATAACAATAATCTTTCTTTAGAAAAAATGTATTGTCACAAAGATGTATTAGGTAAATCGAAAGATAAGATAAATATCTGTTTATTTCAATATCGAGAAAATACCACATGGGAATCTCATCTATTATTATAAATATGAGAATGAAAATTTCAATATGAAAAAATCCTTGGTTGATAATATTTTCATATAAGTGATTGATGGCAATTGTTTACTTGATCAGTTTACATTATAAACTGATCTTAGTTCGATAAAGTATGGGAAAACAAAACGAAAACACTGAAGACCTGCTTCATTTCGGTATTGGAATCCTTAACAATGCATATTGGTGATTGTCGATGATAGAACCTGTTCCATTCGCCACTGCGAATGCTTAAAACTATTACAGGTTCACCTTAGTCGATAAACGAGAACGAGACAATGAACCAGAGTCCAGGTAGGCTACTCTGATCCGTTCACCGAAAGGTACTAACGAGACGTCTTGATAGAGTGTAGAAGTGTATTCTACAAACAAAACACAGCCAGCACACAAATCGCGTTTATTTACACACCGCAGAGACGTCCTTGGAAGAGTTACAAAATAGCACACTAAAATAACACAGTAACCAATCACAACCAAGGCTTTTCCTGGTAGGAAATATGATTTCAAGATCAACTTATCGGTCCATAAAATAAATCCAAAATAAAGGCATATCAAGCGAGTTCTGGGGATCCAACATCTCCAACTGAACCTTCACAACAGATGACAATAGTTTGACCTTAATCCACTTATCCATCATCTAACAGTAAATACTAATAACGCCAATCACTTTGCGATATTGTGCAATCAGCTTAAAATATCACTAACGCTTAACTGCCTCAGATTCGACTTGGTTAAAAAATTTCACTTTTTACGACTTCTCTCTAGAACCTTAAGAATTGCCGGCACTACTTGCCTACCCAAGACCAGTTCATATTGTAAGCTTTCCCCATGTTATTACTTCTGTCAGTAAATAACATCTGTATGCTGTAATTTGCTAAAAAATCGTTACAAGTTTATTGTTATTCAGTGACTATTGTTAGGACATTTGTTTTTGTCTATTCACAAGTAATGTATTATGTGAACTGTTATCGAAATTACCTAAAATTTTGTAGACTATAATTTCATACACAACAAACTGAGTGGTTATTTGCTGAGGATATTGGAATGTTATCCATTTAGTTGTGACCTTTTTAGGTATCATCTTATTGAATATACTGATACTTTATATATTTAGTGACAGTAAACTAATTTCTTTGAAGCACTTATTCATTGTTTGAATGAAATTATAGAATGCAGTAAATTTTTAATTGAATATTTGCCAAAATTTAGTTAAATTGCATTGACGTTTTATCACTAATGGAAGTCGCTAAAATCATGATCGGATGCTGGAAAAAGTGAAGAGTTTTTTGTTTAACCATATAAATAACATATTGAACGTCCATGTTTTGTGTCCATTAGAGAACGCGTTGATTTTAATTTTTCCATTACAAGTAACTTGAAGCATTTCACTGCGCCATTCATCGAAAATAAACCATTCATTCAATTTGTCGTACTTACAATGTATGTTGTCTATACTCGAAATAACTATTCGCTGAAAACTTTGATATTATAATTCATCTCTTATAGGCAGTTTCGATTTCATTCAACAACTACTCAAAATCAATAAATCGATTCACCGAATGGTAAATTAAATATCGGTGATTAAAGCTCAGGCGGTAAATAACGTTTGTGCTATTGGAATCACCTATGATTTCAAAAATAATCAATGTAGCCTAGTTGCAGAGTAATTATTAATATAATAAAGCTGATATGATGCCGTATCTGAAAACAGAAAAATGAAACTTCCCAAAATGCTAATGCAGATTAGTTAACCTGTTGAATATTACATATTTCTTAACAAATAAATATATGGAATTTTAGTTACATAACGGTACAAACCATAGTTAATGCTTGATTATAACACTAACACAACATGCAAACGTAGGATACAATACAAAAAAACCCAGTGTTTACTTACCGATACTTGGTGAATCACTGTCACGATCAGGATGGATTTCTGGTTGCAAAAGAAGTATAAACAAAATTCGAATAAATTAAGCTAAGACAATTTTACATTTATTACGAATAAATTTATTGTGGATATTTTCATTAGACTAGTTTGTTTGAGTAATAACTTTGCGAATAACGTGATCCATAAACCAAGTACTAACCATGTGCATACTGTAGAGTAGCTTTAGTTTAGTGGTAAAACACTAATCAGTAATGTTGAATTCTCGTTTAACATTTTAAACTGATTTGAATTCGTGATATTAACTGAATTCCAGTAAAACTACACCTTAAAATCATCTAAAACGTTTATATGTCAAATTTACCTTCGAATACCTTGGTCATCATACTCGAAATATCTTGTAAACACAAAAATGAGAACAGCGCAATAAAAAGAATGAAATCTTGGGAAACAAATAAGCAACAACCCAAAGTAATTTTGGGAAAAAAATTTTGAACGGTCATTTTACTATCGAATCAATCTGTCCGATTCTAGTGCGTAATTATTTTCATCAATCGACCATGAAATACTTTGTTTTCCAATAAATATATTTTTAAAATGTAAATTGGTTTGCGACTCGTGTAATGAGCTTTATTTTGAAATACAATGTTCTTTATTTATACATACTTACTTATGTTTGTTACCCCTAATGGAGCATTTGCTGCCGATCAACAATGTTTTTTCTTGTAGCATATTGATTTTCTACAGGATGGGTCGCAAACCGTGTGCTCAACACTACTCCTTTATCCAGGCTAAGGAGCGGCAGTGACCCCAAAAGAGCTCCAGGAGGAGTTTCTTTATCTGATATCTTAAGTAGTTGTTGAGTCCATGTTTATATCAATATTCACTATACGTTTTTAAATCCAATTTAAATTAAGCTTATCTGCTACAGTCATAGGTAGTTTTGATCACTGATCGATATCAACGACAGATACAGTGAAAATCAGAAAATTCTAGGCAACCTAACTTACAATTCAGAAGTATGCTCTCCCATAACATGAGATTCCTTAAACTGTTAAAAATAGAATCAAAGCAGTATTCAGCACAACCTGAGTTTTCTGATGTTCTCTAACTGATATCATCATGGGAGGAAAGGTAATCCCGTATTCATCTGTTTTTCTTGAGCTGTTTGTTAAGTTCCGAATAAATAACTTGTGCTTAACATCTACTGTAAAACCGAATGGTAGGTGGCATTTCGTAAACAAGTTATACTGTTATTTGAACCTGATTACCCACACAGTCATGATCTCATTCTATACGTCCGCTTTCAACGCCACATTTTAATCGCCTCATTAATTACAGTTTCTTTATCTTTCTAGATTATGCATCTCCTCATAAACCTAGATTTTGTTCTAGTTATTGAAACATTCACAACTTACATTAGATTAATCTTTTCATTAAATTCCTTCTCAATTTTTACAAGAACAAAATGTAGGCGTACAGACATTATTCAAAAACTTGTCAACATCATCTGTAAATAATACTCAACGTTTTGGGCGATGATTTTTCAAAGAGGAATTAATTTATCGAAACAGTTTTTTTATTGAGAGCCAGGTAAATACCGAATTCATTTTATTATCATTTTTTCTCATCGTTTAAGATAAAACATGTGTTTGTGATCATAAACACCTGTCTGCCAGTGAATATAGATAAACTTCGCTACAGTGTCTCATGTATCATTGTAAAGCTTGCTTAACAGTTTCAGCATCTCTGAACTCATTGATTTACGAGAATATCGAATCAGTAATCAGTAATAGTAGAGTCATTTCATATTTTGAAAGGATATACTCCAAAGTTTTAAATGAAGCTGAAGTATTTACAAGCATTGTTTTGAGCTCGTTTTCTAGACGCACTTAAATTCTAGTATAAAGTTAAACACTATGACACGAAAGTCCGGTGGATTATTCAGTGAATTAACGAGCACGAATTACCAGTGTATAGTGAGTGAGTGCAATCTGTATATAATGAATTTCAACTTCAAAAGTGTAAGTTTTAATTCTACTACTTTTGAAATCATGGACTAAAATTGAATATCCAGTTGTGAACGTGAACACTGGGATGCTGGCACATCACGATTTTGAATCTGAGCGTCGACACTATTCAAACTTAAATTAAATTTTACGGCCTAATGACAATATCGAATCGATTTTCTGAAGATATACATAATGTCAAAAGACACTGAACAGACAAAGTTTCCAAACATCATCAACAACAGAAAAGCCATATAAAGCCATATAAAAAAAATCAAGTCGAAATAAATCTTTCCCAATGGTTTCTCTTTTTTTTTTGCAATAAACATTTTCCAGTTTACATAAAGAATGCACAAATCGATAGTATAAACATAAATTCTAAAAAGTAACACTTGATAAAACCAAAAAATATCCCTCATTTCAAATTTTATCAGTCTAATCCAAAACACTCTAGTATCATGTGTTTAACTGTTGATAAACCCTCGATGCCAGGACGATACGACCGTCCAGTGTGCTTCCAGCTTTCTAATATCAGTCTAACAATGATCGATTCATGGTTTCAGTGATATTTCGTTCTAGTATACACAATCATTGCTGACCATCAATCAGTCTGATTTCACATAATAGAGATCGTGTGTACATAGCTTTTTCATTCGACTTGAAGTCTTCTGAATTATACTTATATCATCGAAATTTTGATTTTTGATTTTTAAAAAAAACCGAAGAATTCTCTAAACAGATGGATAACGTTTTTCAAAGCATATCATCAATATATATATTTTCGTTTTACTCCATTTCATTCTGATAATTTATGACTTCATTTAAAAATACGAAATGCTAGAAAAATGCGTTTCGTTTCAATTTAACGTAATTAATTTCACACTACACACACAGGTGGATAGTTTTTCAAAGAAATTGCATTAATCAAAAAATAATAGATGATCAATCCGATAATAATAATAATTATTAATAACATTTAACTGCAATAAATTAAGATCTTCGGTAAAAATTCAAGCTTACAATATAGTTTTAGGTTAAATCCAATTATTATTTCGTGTATTCTGATGTTTTTGTTTTATGTGTACTTCGTTACTGTTGATGACTTCATCAAAAAAATGGGAGTATCAGTTGCAAATTATTGATTTTTTTTCTAAAAAAATATCTCTTACGTTATATTACGCTATGCAGTTGAGATTAGCACGTTTTACTTTTTCTTGTTATATTGTTATTCTACTTGATAGATAACGGATGAATTTATCGATTAGTTACTGATACTGGTTAATTATAGATAATATTTTATGATTTAATTGAGTTAAATAATCTATTTCTTATTAGTTCAATTCACTGTTTTGTACCACTGTGGGCAGTCAGAGCCTTTAGTGACTCATTCAGCTTTGCAATTTATCAGGGAAACATTTGAAGATAGGATAATCGGTTTTATTCGTATTGTACTGGTTATAATCAGTTTATGATAAATATTGGCTTCTAAAATGAATAAATCACTGCTACATTTTTTTCACATTTGTTCACAATCAGCCAATCTCAAAATAAGATACTCATAGTTTTAAAGAGTGGCAATTGATTTTTAGAGTAAACATCTAATTTTAAGAAGGTGGAGAAAATTTGTAGTTAACGTAGATGATTGTGGTGGTGTATCGTTCTCTTAGCTGGATGTTTTCGGTATGATGCTTTCATCGTTCTTCTAAACAACATCATCATCAGCACAAAGGTCGGATTTCTATCTGATCACAATCCCTGCTCACTAGTGACTGGGTGCATGTGGAAGACAACTGGTGAGGTTGTGCAAAACCTTAGACAATAACAAGGTTGTTTGCCGATTTACTGATCTGGAGATTAAACTTCAAATAGAAGTCTGAAGTTTGTTCTGATGGTGTTGTTTAGAAGAACAATGAAAGCTTCACAACCAAAACATCCAGCTCAGAGAACGAAGCACTACCATCAACCTTTTGATGGAATAATTCAGCTATCCGCCAAAAAAACGTTATAAGATGATTAGACAATGTCAATGGAATATGAAGAATGAGAAATTAGATTGTGACTGTTTGGTCTAAAAATGTATATTTCTGCATCATAAGTAATAAGTGAAAAGTATGATTTTCATACCCTATATGTATTAAAAACTAGTCTTTTGATGGACGTTTATGATAAAATGGTATTTTTTTATTCATACTTTTTAAATCATACTCAGTTATTGGCAGTAATGAAAAGTGGCTAACAGTGGAATAACGGGGACGTGCGTTTCGTCCTATTTGAGACTCATCGGTCGGATGTATCTGCATAGCAGAGCTCATGTTCACTCCGGGACTCGAACTCAGTATCATTTGCTTCGAGTAAATTTATTTATTCACTTAGCTTTAGAACTCAGATAGCCAAACACTTGTACGATGGAGGTTCAAATAACTGATACAAATGAATCCATAGTCCATTATTATTGTTCTGTAACAATTTTCGATAATTAATATTCAATTGTTATTATGATCTGTAGTTCTTTCACGTTTCCTGGATATCTGTTATTGTAAACCATTATATTACTTAATTTTGACCAGTGAATTATTCCCATCCCCCCATTCGCTACCTTCTTTTAGTATTAGACACGTCAAATAATTCTATAAAATAATCTCTCACTATTCTCTTATAAATTCGAAAATTCATGAAACAACTAAAAATATTGAAGTCGTGAATCAGTCATTATTAGGCCACCATTAGAAACCCGAAAGCAGTAGGCTACCGTGTCGTCCTGGTGTAGGACTTACCATTAGTGCTCATTCACGATCCCCGCTCATTAACGACAACGTATGAGTTTGCGCAAAACCTTAGATTGATCAAAAGTCAGACAATAACAACGTTAGATGCCGACCCACTGGTCTCCCGCTAAACCGAAGTTTCTAGGTTCGACTTCTGTGATTAGTGGGAGTCATGGATGTGCACTGCTGATGAGTCCCATACTAGGAGGAGACTGCCGTCCATTGTTTCCAGGTTTCTAATTGTGGTCTAACAATCATTGATTCACATTTTCGG